AAAGCTGCAGCCCAGCAGCCCCTACACAGCCCATTGGTAGTCCAAATCACCTCCAAACCATGCCAAAAGGTCCAGCAGCGCCCAAAACCCGTCCAAAATGGTCCAACAGCCCTATTTTGCACCCAAGATTAATTCCGAATGATCCAACCGGAAAGGTAAACTTGAGATAACATTTCTCATGATGAAGGTACAGAGTGGATTTAAATTTTGAGCTCGGGAATTTTAAATTGGTAATAATGGGAAACTACTTGGTTTATGCACGGATAAATTATATGATTTACTCGTGGATATATTTGATTGGTTCGTGGTGATATTTGATTTGGTCGAGGACACACTACTTTATTTATACGTGGATATATTCAATTTATTCGTGCAAAATTATGCGTGGAAATATTCAGTGTGCTCACGGATACGTTTGATTTGCTTATGGAGAAATTATGCGTGAATATGCGTTGATATTATCTGTTTTGGTCGAGATGTTATTCGAGCTATTCATGCAAAATTATTCAATTTATCGGTGGATATTATGTGATGTATTCGTAAATATTCGTGGACATTATTTGATTTGATCGAGGATACATTATTTAATTAGTTCATGAGGATTATGCGACTTTTCTGTGGAAATTATTTGACTTAATTGAGGCGATTACTCAATTTGTTCGAAGAGAACCATTTCATGGATATTATTTGGTTTATTCGCGAAAATATTTGATTATTGTATTTGCTCGGGAATATATGTGATCTATTGGAGCACTATTTGAATTATTCGAGGAGATTATTCGATTTGATCGAGGAGTGTGCGTGATTTGTTCGTGGACATTATTTTATCTTGTCAAGGAGATATTATTTGGTTTGTTTATGGAGGATTATTTGACTGGATTGCGAAATTATCTGACTTGCTCGAGGACATGGATTATATTTATATAATTGGATATCTTTATGCACTTGGACCATTTATTTGGATTTTCGTGTGGAAATGTGGAATTATGTCAAATTGATTATTCATAATCTTTAAACATGTCATTGCTCGAGCATGTCTCAAGTCGAGGAGATGGTGATATTTATATCTGATCTCTTGCTTTTCTTGCGTGGAGCATTGCAAAACGGATAACTTGAATATAATGTGGATAATGATGTCTCTCTGAATTCTTGTCGAGGAAACAACGAAATAACCCGAGACTTGGCGAGCTATGGCGGAGAAGTTGTTAAGTGTCGAGGACAAAATGGACGAGCATGGATCTATACAAGAAGGGTGATAATGAAGCACGAGCATGGATGATGTCGATCACCGGTGACAATCTCAAAGGCAAAAATCATTGTCTTTTGGAAAGGTAAGACAATTTGGAGCGGTATTCTCGACCGTCAGGTACAAAACTATTCTCAACTCTTGATTTGATGGTCGTGTTTGATCGACACATATGAATGTTTGAATATTCTTGGCGAAATTGACGGCATGGTGAGGTACATGAGCATGTTTGGATTATTATTTCGATAACTAACAAAAGGATTGGATGTTATTATATCTTGTCGTGTTCGATGTTTTCTTTTTC